AAAGGAAGAGGAGGGAATAAAAAAGGCAAATATCTCCCTCCTCCTTCCCATGAAGCTTTAAATGAGAACCCAAACATGGGGAGAGATTCTGTAGTGGGGGGAAAAGGTTGTGGTTCTCCTGAAAGGTTTGTATTTGTAGAAATGAGGTGTCAGAAGAGGCAGAATTTCCTCAGGGTGCAGCACAACATGAGCCCATCTCTTATCATTTCCCACTCTCAGACATGATCTGCTTTGAATGCACTAATGCTGAAAGAGCCCCACAGACTTGAAGCCAGTTCAAGATGAAATCACAGCCCACATCCCTGACAACACACCAGGATTAAACAGTTGCTGCACACCAAATCCCCACTGAAATACAGAAATAATATATGCACTTAAGCACATTCAGCAAAACTTCAACCTCAGTTTTTTTGATCCACACATTTTTAATTATTCTGAGCTATTTGAAAACCCTGAAATATTCAGCTAAAGAAGAAATTTATTTAAGAGAAAAAGTAAAGCTAGGAATTTCTCACATACATTAAAATGTTACATAAATTATTAGGAGTGAAAGCAGATTGTCCACTTTAAATATAGGTTATATATCAAATTAAGATTCATATGCAACATGCTGTGAAAATGCAACATGCTGGGTTTGAATCTAATCTTGTGCTGCTCACATTATTTTGTCTGCATTCACTGTTGGCTATTTAAAAAAGTATACACATTTCAAAAATAACCTTTAAAAGGTTTTATCTATGAGTTAAAAAGCCTGGCCCAGGTGCCCTGCAGATGCACTCTTTTACCCTTACTCCAGTGTGAGTCAGTCAACAACTAAAAAGATGTAAGAACATTTCCATGAAAGCACATAACATGAATAATAATTACATTTTGCATTTAATTACCCGCTCTGTAGCTGATACTGTATTGCCATTACCGTGTAGCTTGGTTACATGTGTCCTTGCATAAAGGAAAAGTTACACCATATTAATCTAACCGATTTTACACATTTTGTATTATCGTTTTCCTGGTTAAATTATGCATGAGGTCTCAATGGGGAGAAATGTGACCATTAGCATATCTGATAGGAGTGGTGGACCACTTTCCCACCTCTCTGTGTCCTTGGAACCAGGCAGAAAAACCTGACTGTTCATCAATACCAGGTCATTTTATCCAGGCCAGCCTAGTTCATCTATACCATTCCAAAGCTGTGCTAATGACACTTGGAGACGTCCTTAACACGATGGGGGCCCGGAGGGATCCAACACCAATGTGAATATAGTCTAGCACTGTCTGGTCATCTCTGGGAGCTCTTTGACAAAAACTGCAATTAGAAGCACCTCAGACATACCAGCCTGAAATGAGACACCGCTAAGGGTTGGAAGCAGACACAGCCAGGTGCTTCCTGAGTACATTTACATATATAGTATGTTACTGTCTGCAGCCCACAGAGATGGAGAGAGAATGTCTTTGAGGTGTGTGACCTTTTGACGTCATTGGGTTTATTAGGAAAATGATGGTGTTTTAGCCATGAAGTAAAGGTCGACGTGGCATAAAGGAAAAACACAGCTTAGTTAATATTAAACAAAAACAGGGAGGATGTGTTGTGATGTCCTCAGCTGTTGAGCTAATTGGTAGCTTGTTTGGCTAGGAGACTGTTTAAAAAAAATTGTCTTGAAGTTTTTGTCGAAGTTAAAAACTCGATATAGTTACAGTGAAACCTTGGATTGCGAGTAACCCGGTCTGTGAGTGTTTTGCAAGACGAGCACAAATTTTGATTCAATAAACAAGCGAGGTCTTGCAATACGAGTAGTACGTATGCTTTGTCTGCCGAGCGTCACATCACAACTGAGCCTCATTCGTATAGTCAACATCTGTATTGCAACAGTGGCCCCTCACGCCAGCCACGATTCTTTTCAAAGGTAAACTGCAGGATAATTTGTTTTATTTTTACTTTATGCTGTGTTTTGTATTACTGTGATCATTTTTATATGAATAAGTAGTTGTGGAATGAATCATCTGAGTTTCCATTATTTCTTATGGGGAAATTCGCTTTGATATACGAGCGCTTTGGATTACGAGCACGTTGCCGGAACGAATTATACTCGCAATCCAAGGTTTCACTGTACTGCGTTTTCCATAGTGATGCATATCATGGTGAATTTCTTAGGATGGCATAACTGATTCCCAGTTTTCATGTTTAAATGTTAAATGAAAAAGAAAAACATGCGATGATCAGACCTAATGACTAATCTTAAATCTTGAAACGTGATTGCCCACACATGGGTGTGCCATATGTTTCCTCTAACAAAAGACAGATCTAGGATATAATCAAAATAAATAACATTTGCTTAAACAGTAAACTTATAAAAGACCTTTTGAATTATGGCAGCAAACATCAACTGTTATTAAGAAAGAGATGAACAGAAATAAACCAACATGGACATGAGGTATTGATTAATTGTAAGCACTGTAAGAAATCCCATCCTTCTCTTTTCTCTGTGGGCCATTTAGTCTGCTAAGGCTAGCATTTGAAAAATACTTACCTTGTTATAAAAAGTTTAATGTCATATGCAATTGTTTGACCCTTATGAATATTAAAGGATCCCATCTCAGGCCTATTAAAAATGCATATGGCATTGTGGTTGTTGATCACGTTTAGGACACCCATGCAAATTGGACTGTCTATCTTGTCAAGGCCTAAGATGAATAATGTAGTTGTGTTGTATATTCAGGGACACACCAATGACACTCAATTAACAAGTTTGATTGGTGTGTGAACTCATTCTTTTGAACTGTTAATTTTATGTAAATAGTATTTGCTCTCCTTTTTCCCACTGTCTCTCCCCCATCCAGGTTCACTGTAGAGAAGGATGTGCCCCTACCCCCACAACCCCCCCCTTCCCCAATTCCACCTCCCACTACCCCCCGATTCCCCAATTCCACCTCCCACTAAGAGTAACTAGAGTGGGATCCTTAATAATTGATCATCACACACCTGCTTGGTAGAAGCTATGGGAGTCTGCCTTTAACAGTCAAGGGGCCCCGCACTAGCCCCTTTTGATATTCAAATTGTCATATGGTAGCTGGCCTTTATGAATTCAAAACGGATGAGCTCTTTTCATGGGGAAGAGCTTGTTAAAAGATTCTAGCCACCCATCCAGCCCGATGGAGCCCATCTTTGTTGGAGTGGATATTTGATAGTTCATAAATGGAATGCCAGTGACAATTTGTTGTTGTTGATGTGTGAGAATCTGGCTTTTATCTTAGGCAGACGTGATAATGCAGGCTCTTGGGCAGATTGTGCTTGCAGGTGAATGATCCAGTGATTGATCCAACTGGTTGAAAGCACCAAGGGCCTTATCTTCTCCCTTTCTTTCCTGGCACTCACTTGCACCCCTCTTTCTCATCTTCCTTCCATCGCTTGTCTCCTGCGATCTCCAAGTAATTTGGAACAGCAGAGATGAAACCTGAACAAAGCAGAATATAAAAAAACCATCAAAGCTGACAGGTGTCAGGAGCCGATGTCATGGCGGTAGCCGCGACCAATGTTGGCTTCTAGCTTCCACCTGTGTAGCTTCCACCTTGGTCTTCTGCTGTCCCATAAAATACAGGTTTAAACATTTTAGAAATGGTGAATATTCTGTATTCAGTTCAATCAATCAAGTTACAGCATGTCTAGGCTTTGCTAAGGCAATCAAAATGAACCAAGTGAAGGAAACAAAGTGTTTGTTTGGAATGACCGGAGAAGAAATTTGGTTAGGGAGCAGTAAGTCTTAAGTAACAACTCTGGTCCAGTTCACCACTGGTAAACTCACTGTCAAACATGATAGGACTGGCTGTGTCCTTCCTAATCAGTAAAGGACATTGTCTTCGACTGTGTATCAATTGATTCAGGCCTGTTTCATCATCCCTGGAGATATGCACATGCTCCAGGGTCCCTGCATAGACCAGCAATTATCAACATGTCACTAGCATCTATTCTGATTGACCAGCAGCTGGTGTCGAGCACTAATGCCATCCAACTTCAAACACTGGTGAGCTACAGGGTCTCCGAAGACCTGACCTTCTTAATGCCACTCCTCATCCATGCTCGTCTCTCTGCATTAAACAGATAGATTTTTTTCAGGTTTCATTATACGACAAGCTTAATTCTAACAAAGGTATTTAACAGAGAGAGAGAATTGAGCTTATTATCACATGGTTAATTGTGCTTATATATAACAGTGGTGCCTCAGTGATACATCAGCATACTTTTCACAGAATACCTGGTGGAGCTCGTTAATTGAAGTGCCACTAATAAGCTTATAATTAATGTTAATTTGATTATAACACCCCACTGATGAATATTGTGTGTTTTTTTTTTTTAAATGAAACTCATTTTGGAGTTTGATGACTTCTTTCTGGCATCTAGTTTTCTGACTGAATTAGAGCGTGGATATCTGAACCAAGCTTGACGGGACCCATTGGTACTCGAGGATTCAGCCAGGATTTGGACTGAAATTTAAAAATTATGCTTGAGTCTGGGTCAGGTTTGGACACAAAGGACAAACTTTAGGCTAGACGGCTGTAACACTCAAATTGTCTGTTTCATTTAGTGATGAGGAAAAACACTATACAAACTCAACTGCGTGGGGCTTGGATCAGGTTCAGACATTAAATACTATAAGCTTGTTGGGTCCAGGTCAGGTTCGGATGCCATACACTCAGACGTGGGTTGGGTTTGGACAGAAATATGTGGCCCAATCCATGCTCTAGTTTGAATAGCTACTGCAGTTTGTTGAAATTGAATGACGAAATTATCCAGTCTTGATAATATACTACAAGAAATCTTGACTAGCTCAACAATGGTAGCAAAGGTCGTCATGATTATTGCTGTTTTTCTAAATTTAATAATCGGTAAATATTTGTATTATACTGCATATCATTTGACTGTAGACTCTTATTTATTATAACAAAGCCAACAGGGCAATAATGATACTTTAGTGATGCGGTCTTTTTTTTATGCTCTTTTTTTCCAGGTAGATGAGTCAGTTTTCTGTGCTGGCCAAATTGCTTTGGTCCCGTGTACCATGCAGATGGTGGAGTCTGGCACCAGGATACAGACCCACTTGTCCTTCAGCCATGTGAAGAAGGTTCTGGAAGCTGTAATCAGTAGCTTGACTCTGGCTCATGTTGTCCAGGCTCACTGCTACGCAACAAGACATCAAGACATCCCCGTTATCAGAGCCGTCTGGGAGAGCATGCTGAGGGCCACAGTCGAGGATAAGGTCAGCCAATGTGGAGTGAGATTTTTGTTTATGAAATATATGCTGGCAGTTAAAGAGCAGAGCCTTGTCTGGCTGTTTTATTATAGATGCTGAGGAAATATTGATCATACTTATAATACGATATTACACCCACACGGGATGAACGCATATTTAATGGATTAAAAGACAGTAGAATTTATGCATCAGTGAATAAGTAAAAGAAGGGAAACTTGATATGGTATTCAGAGTTGTTTTATAGTTGTGAAATAAGGGAAGTTCTACACCCCTTTCTGCCCCCTTGAGACCCAAGCCGCTGCAAATGATATTTACCAGTGAGTGCCCTCATGAAAAGTTGATGATGTGGGAAACGCTAGTGTCTTTGATAATGTGGAGCTTGGCACAGAAGCAGATGTCTTCCTCAGAGCCTCCCTAATCCTTTGCCCCCACACACCATTTTGGAGCGCCGTTCAACTCTCAGAGCAGCTTATCCCCCTCTCCACCCCTCTTTTCTGCCACCTCCCTCCATCCTTCTCGCCATTCCATCGCCCCAGACTGCAACCCCTGCTCCATGCGTCTATTAGGGGCACCAGTCTCCCCTTGCAGCCCTGTCTTCCTACAGTAATCTGTCTAGCCATGGGAATACGAGCCCACCTCCAGCATTTGGCCCTCTGCAGTGGTGAATGGCGTTACTGATTGCAGAGAGGATGTCAACTTTGTGTCAGTTCCTCAAAAAGTATAGAAGAATATGAAATTCACAATGTGTCATTTTAATTGCAGCATTAATATTCTCAAAGCTTTTCTAATGTTCAGTATCATTTACAGAAATCTGTCTAAATATGCTACATATACTAGGGTTCAGCATATCTCAGTCAGGAGCTGGTGCCTGTCTGTGAATGTATTTGACACGTTTTGCCTTATTGTAGCACACAGCGGAGTATACGTCTTAACAGCATTGACCGTGTATCAGTTTAGCATGCAGATTGGGCTGTCCAGATAACAGGGCTAACTAGGGGCAAAGCTCTGGGAGATGACAAGACTAAGCTCACATCAGAGGCCACTGATGATGGACGACACTGTCCATCTGTTGTGGTTCCATGCGGTGTGTCAGAAGAATCAAAAATATTCATTAAAGTGACCCAAGAGACAGTTTGTTTTGAACTGACACACAGATTAAACCGCTCTAGGTACCCGTTCCTTTTAGCAGCGTGGATGGTTTAGGGGGTGACTAACCCAGCCCCACATGCTATCTTTGCCCGTGAGGCAGATGGTCTTGGTGTGACGTCCCAGCTTGGCCCTCGCACTTGCCCCTCTCTTTCACTTCACATGCCGATGTATTAAGTACAGCAGAAAATAGATTAGGAGAGAGGCAGTGGTGGGGAATGCTGTTTTGCTGGTTTTTGTTTTGTTTTTTGGTGAAATTCTCTCTTCCTGGCGTGGGGATTATACAAAAGCACCGGTGTAGTAATTAGAATCTTTAAGTCAGGTTAAACCCTGGTAACATGACTCTCACAGAGAGAAGCAGTAACTTAGTTTCTGTCAGCTGGCATCAGTAAAGAGCCTTGCTTCACTTGCAGTCAGCAATTCATATTCACAGAACTGGTAACTCTGTAATTAGTAACTACACAAACCTTATTTATAAAGCCTTTTTTGAAAAAGTGTTTTACAGAAAGAGATAAAGAGTAAAGAAAAATATCTTGCAATACATTGTGTAAATACATACAATACATACATACAAATAATGTGATGTCATTTTGCTGCACAATAATCTATCGTGTGTAATATACTGTACTCATGTGAGTGTTTAATTTTGGCATTCTGATTTTTTAAACAGAACTAAAAACTCAATAAACTGTAAAACATTTAAAAGTTAAATGAGAGCATTCTACCAATAATTAGTTTTATTAAATCTTTACTTGTAATTGACAAAAAAGTATGAAAGTAAGTAGTTAAATCCATCACATTGCATCTTATTTAGAGTCAGTATAGTTAATGTTTACTAGAGATTTCAACAGTCTCTGTCTGCCAATTTACATTTGGTCTTCTTCACAAATGCAGAGCACAGTGTGTATATGTGGCTGAATTTTGAAACCCTAATATTAGATGATTTAACCTTAAACTTTCATATATATATAAATATAAAGGGTGCACTTTTTCAGTGTATTTCTAGACTCCAGACCTGTGAAAAGGATGTTTGTGACAGAAACACCAGTGCTTATCATGTCTCAGAAGCCACAGGCCCATGTTGTTGTTGTGTGTTGATAATTTCTCTAATCAGGTGAAGGAAGAAGCTTGCAGGGTTAATTGGGGGCACACTGGAGTCGCTGTAAGTGTGAAATTGTATTTACGGTGCATTAAACCACAGAGAATCTGTTTGTCTGTGTACGTGCAAGTGTGTGTGCAAAGGATTTGATGAACAGGAAGATGTTGATGTGATAAGTCAATAAATGTTGAACAGGTTCCATTTGTGTAGCAGTAACAGGTTCAAAAACTAAAAATATAATTATTAAATAGCTTAACAATTTTTGTAGTTAGTAAGGGTTAAAATACTTTTAGATTTTCACATGCAGAAATCATAAGCACCAGATAAATCTGGAAATGTGGGAGCATTTTTAAAGATGGCTTCAGTTTTGTTGAAATTTTGATAAAATCAACTTAGTGCTGAATTTAAATCTGTATACCACAATAAACCCTTTCTCATTATTTCTCTTTTGCTTACCAGGGACTTTTGAAGTAACTCTGGGCCCTATCATGGTTTTGCAATGGCCCCATACCTCTAAACATTTTTTCACCCCACCAACATGGCCCTTTGTGTTTCATTTACACAGACGGTCTGATGAGGCTCAGAGAGGATATCTTAAGAAAAAAGAGTGAATGAGGGAGTGAATGGAAAGGGATATTATAGTAGACTGACAGCCCTACAGTAAGTGCTGAGCCACATGCTGCAGGCGTCCTGCTGGGCAGGAAATGTAGGGGAACTGGCTAAGCAGCGCAGTCCCATCAGCTCCCCGCTGTTCCCCGCTTTTACACCACTTCCTTATTACCGTGTTTACCGTTCGGCTTTCACGCCTCTCGGCCCTCCAACCCACTGCGCGCTTCAGGCGCACGGGCGTGAGTTAGAGGGAAGAAAACAAACATAAGGAGAGGCAGGTCACACCCCATCAGCGTGGAGAGCTGAGCACAGCACATCCAGACTTCACGCGTTTACCTGCTACCTATGGAGTGAGAGAGCACTGGGGTAATGACTGCTTGCCCAGGAACTGAAGTGGGATGAAGTAATGAGATGGATTGTGTTAAGTGGCTGGTGTAGAGCACAACAAAGCCCTCTGCGCGCACGCACTCTGCCACCCGCCTGCCCTCCTGACTTGCCACTCTAGCACTCAGCTCCACCATATATCAAAGTTTGTGTATTACTGGGGTAATTTAATAAACGATCCCTGGTCAGGTAAGGATGTCAGCCGGTGTTCCCTCTCTCACTCCTCTGGCAGGAAAACACAGTAATGGAGCTCGGACCATAGTAACGTCTGAAACATACACGTGCAGGTACAGAAATACACACACACACAAATGCACTTTGGTGCATGTGTGTAGTTCCAAGGAACTGCTGAACAAACTTTCCACCTAATGTAACATTTTGGTGATTACATTTATAAAGAAACACATAGGGACTGATGCCTCATCCGACACCTCTGAGACAAAGGCAGCCTCCATGTAGTGACAATAAAGTTCTGCCAGAGGCTGGAGCACAGTGCTGAACTTCCCTGATCTTCCTGTGGACGGTCATTTGGGTATAGTATCTCAGCACCCAAGCCCCAGTTTCCACTCTCTGTTCCATGTTCAATCACTATTGACAAGTGCAGGAGCAGTCCCCTCTAGGAGAATACCTAGCCTGTGCCAGAACTGCTAATATAACATTTATCAAAGCATAGGACACGTATGTGTGCTGTCACTTTGTCCGACACGCTAAGAGGTCCATGCTGACACGGCTATTACTCTCACGTGATTGTTATTGTTTGTGCAGTGTAAGCTAGGCTCTCTACAAAATCAGCAGTGTAAAAAAAATCTTAACCTA